GTTGCTCTGAAGTCTTCTATTGATAATTTGGTTAGTTCTGTTGTGTTAGGGTTTATTCCCAGTGTTTAGATTTGATTTATCAATTGGGGTAAACTCCTATTTTTTCATTTTGTTTGATATTCTGTGAGGTTATTTCTGTGAATTAAACTAGACTTTTTTCCCCCTTTACAGTCCTGCTCTAATTGTCTTGAGCTAGCATTGCAGTTTGTAGAGTACTGGCCTAGGGTATAATCCTATTCTTTCTGTGGTTGTAGTCATTGAAGCCCTGTCACTGATCAGGATGACTGGAGGTGAAAATCCAGTGCGGAGTGGTGGCCCATGAAGTAGCCTACAGCATGGCAGTGGGGGCAAAATAAGAAAAATGGGTATCCCAGAAGGGGAAAAAGAAGGGAACAGGAATTACTATTTCATTATATCTTGCAAATTGTTTTGCACATTGCACAAGTTATTCAACTACTAGGAAAACTTTGATGACCCTGAATATGGGATTCACTGACTCAGCGCCATCCTTTGCTATTTGCATAAACCTCCCTCAGTGTTTAGCAGACTTTTTACTAGGAATGCAAATTCCTATTTGTTTTTCTTTTTAATTTTACAGGAATTATTCTTTTATAATTTCATGTATAAGGTATTTCTAGAGAATAAAATATATTGAGAATTTTGATGCTATCAACATTGGCTTTTTCAGCTATTATTATAGAAATATAATTTTTAAATATATTTATTTACCCCAGATTTTTTATATGCACAGAATTTTACTAATGTGGATGTTATAGCTATATTTTCTCTGTAACATGCGTGTTATTTATTTTTTTATAAAAATCTTTAACAAATATTAATATTATCCTTGGTAGATAAACTTATTTATATTATTCTCTTTTTTAATAGAAAAATACTGTTATAGGTAATTTAGAAATGACTCTGGTACTGCTCTTAGAAATAAATATAAATTTATTATATTTGTTTTATTAAACTGTTGTATTATTGGACATTTCCCTATCTGGTAAGACATTCTAGGGTTGAAGTGGTGAAAACAAATGAATGGATTTGACTTGGCAATGCTTTCTCTTTTTTGGTGATTAAGAATGATTTTGTCATATTTCTTCCCTTCCCTCTGCATTCGGTCTCTCATGTATTCAAATTTGAGCATTCTATACATGAGCTCCAATTTGTTTAATTCACTTTCTTTGACCCCATGGAGGCTTCTGGTCCACTGACCTGACATTGTTTCTATCAGTCACTATTCCCTTTTATATTAACTTCTTTACTCCTCAGCATAGACTTTATGATCCATCTTTATAATCACTCACTTGCAATTCTTCAATCCCTACCCTTCTTTGCTTCCATTTTTAATCACCTTGAACAATCTAAACCTAATTAAATTCAATTTCCTCTGAGCAGTTGAATGTTTCTAGAGAAAATCACATACTCTATCATTGATTTCCCTTTAAATTATCATAAACCTCAAACAGGCACTCAGAATCTCCCCAGTAATGCTCCTAGGAGGCAGTCTCTCACACTTGTCTCTTCTTGAGCACTCTCTCTCTCTCTCTCACACACACACACAAACACATGCTTCATATATGTATATGAAAAGAATAAATCAATGAAAGGGAGAGGTCAGGAAAGCTACTATTTGGCTTGTATAACTAGAAGTCTTGTGGGAAACACAGGCAGCAAGTTTGGTTGAGGCAAGATGGGAAATTCAGTTTTCTATACATTGCAGAATTATTTGTGACATCTTAGAGGATATGTTAAGTTGGTACTTGTTAAATAGATGTGAAATTTCGAGGAGAGTTCTGGGTGAAAAATGTCAATTTTGGAAATACTGATGAATCTAAGACGAGAACATACAATAATGAAAAATAAGGTAGAACTGAGCATAGCCGAACCGTAACATCTAAAGTTAATGAGGAGTGGAGTAGTCAGCAGAGATGAGCCCAAAATGGCGCAGCGGTTGAGCGCTGGGTTGCGAAGCTGCCCGCAGCCTCTGCAGCGCTGGTTCGATCCCCAGCTGCTCCCTGGCCACAGGAGGAGGGTCCCACATGGCATACAGACCTCTCCTGCCGCCCGCTGCTCTCCTCAGCACTGTACTTCGGTCCTTCTGCCTGCTCTGCTCCCCACTCTGGCTCTGGTGAATTTTCTCACCCTCCCGGGCTTCTGACTGTACCCAGTGCATGTATAAATAAAACAAACAGACAAATAAATAAAACATGCCTCTAAAAAAAAAAAAAAGAAACAGTAGTACCATGTCAGGGGAAAGATGGCTTTAGAAAGGAAAGTGGGGTTATGGGGTAGAATGTCATGTAGAAGGAAAATATGACAATAACATTCTAAGACTAAAATGCTTTTTTTTTTTTTTTTTTTTATAGAGGCATGCTTTATTTATTTGTTTTGCTGGTTTGTTTGTTTGTTTTTTTTTGTTTATACATGCACTGGGTACAGTCAGAAGTGTGGGAGGGTGAGAGAATTCACCAGAGCCAGAGTGGGGAGCAGAGCAGGCAGAAGGACTGAAGTACACTGCTGAGGGGAGCAGCGGGCGGCAGGAGAGGTCTGCGCACCATGTGGGACCCTCCGCCAGTGGCTGGGGAGCAGCCAGGGATCGAACCGGCGCCACAGAGGCCGCGGGCAGCTTCGCAACCCAGCGCTCAACCGCTGCGCCACCGGGGAGGCCCTAAAATGCTTTTTTATTGCAATTTAGGCAGCAAGTGACTGGTGACCTGAGGTGAAGTACAGTTGTGGTGAGTTGTGGAAGCCAAATTAGAATGGGTGGAGGAGCTGGGGGAGAGGCAAGGAAGACACATGCTGGCTGTTACTTCAAGAAGTGATGCCAGGAAGGAGAAGCTTGAGAGTAGGTCAGCAAAGTGCATGGAAAGGGAGGAGAGCTGAGCTGAGATTTTAATTTGTTTGTTTCTTATTTTTACTGAAGGAGAGATTGAGCTAAGAAATATTAGTTGAATTGCTAGCGCTAAATCATCTGGAAAGAAAAAAAAAAGAGAGGTGAATTGTAGCCTGGGAAAAGAGGAATTTAAAAATAACTGTAACTTTTTTTTTAATATATATATATTTTTAAAGATTTATTTATTTATTTATACAAGCACTGGGTACAGTCAGAAGTGCGGGAGGGTGAGAGAATTCACCAGAGCCAGAGCAGGGAGAAGAACAGGCAGAAGGACCGAAGCACACTGCTGAGGGGAGCAGCGGGCGGCAGGAGAGGTCTGCGGGCCATGTGGGACCTGCCTCTGGTGGCCAGGGAGCAGCAGGGCATCGAACCGATGCTGCAGAGGCCGCGGGCAGCTTCGCAACCCAGCGCTCAACTGCTGCACCACCAGGGAGGCCTAATAACTGTAACTTTTATCAGAGAGGGAAAGGAAGAGAGAAATGGGAAGGAAAGAGAAAGGGAGACAAGTTAGAGGGAATTCTAGTTTTTTAATGTGTTTTGGATGAAAAAAATGTTTATTAGGGTCAAATTGCTCCTGAATTTTAGTTTCTCTAACTATTAGATTATCCTCAGTAGCTCTGGTGTAGGTTAATAAATTGGTGCTGAGATTTATTAATTTAATTTTATTTTTAAAATTAAAAAACAATTTTATTTATTCATGCATTCAAGAAGTGGGGTGTAGGCTAAAGGTGTGTGTGTGGGAGGGGGTGAGAGGATTCACCAGAGACAGAGTGGGGAGCAGAACAGGCAAAGTTACTGAAATACACTGCTGAGGGGAGCAGCAGGTCAGACAAGAGAGGTTTGCTATGCCATGTGGGTTAGCTCTTCCCTGGCTGGGAATCGCACTCATGCTGCAGTGGCTATCGATAGCTTGATAGCACTAAGACTTTAACCTCTGTGCCACCAGGGAAGCCCTGTTTATTAATTTTAATGAGATTTTTTGTAGTTCTTTTTAATGCATTGATATAATGGAGTTTCCAGACCTTTAAAAATACTGAGCTATAGGAGCCTCCATTTAGATATATCTGGTTTAAACTGTTATAACAGTTTAGTTCATCAGCTATAAAAGGAATAAAAATAGTAGTTACCATTTGTCCAGTCCTTACCATGTAATTTACCTGGTGTTTTACATATTTTTAATTCTTTCTATAACTTTGCAAGTAGACTGTTACTATCATTATTTCGTAGTGAAAGAACTGAGGCTCAAATAATTGGTTTTATTTAAATTTTGCTAAAGAAATATTCAATATACTACATAAAAGAAAATAAAATGATGTGAAAAAGAGAGACCCAGGTTAAGAATTAGATAGGTTTATTGAGAATACATTGTTATATATTAGAATACTAATATATACCAATCTTGTTTCATCTGTGTTCTCTCTCCCCAACCCACTCCTACTTTTTTTTGCACCACAGGTTTAGAGAAATTAAATGCCCAGAGTCACACATACTTTTCAAGTTTCTCCTGTGGAACAAATGGTAAGTCAGTCATTGGGAGTACAGAACAAGATCTGGTTCTTCTGATCACAACCACCAGTATCTACTAGGTTTTATCCTATAAGCCTTGATTCTTTTGATCATTACCACAATCATTTGAAGTAATAACTACCATGCCCCTGTTATAGTCCTGGAAACTGATTTATAGAGAAGACACGTGACTTGCCAAAGCATGGCAGAGCTGAATTCTTTTTTTTTTTAAGATTTATTTATTTATTTATTTATTTATACAAGCACTGGGTACAGTCAGAAGCATGGGAGGGTGAGAGAATTCACCAGAGCGGGGAGCAGAACAGGCAGACTGACGAAATATACTGCTGAGGGGAGCAGCGGGCATGGCAGGAGAGGTCTGTCACACCATGTGGGACCTTCGCCAGAGGCCAGGAATCGAACCGGCACTGCAGAGGCTGCGGGTACCTTCGCAGCCCAGTGCTCAACCGCTGCACCTCCAGGGCAAGCCCAGCAGAGTTGAATTCTAACCCAGATGTTCTGATTCTAGAACTGGTACTATCTGGCAGTGATGCAAATGGAATGATTAGTGATACAATAAAAGGATACTGAAGGTACAGCTTTCTAGTTTCACTGACCAGCTGCCACTCCTCTCTGCTCTCTCTTTGATTGTCATATCCAGACATAACATCCCACCAGGAGGGCAAACATTTGTGTGACAGCTCCAGCATCACTTAGAATAGGGCCTGAGTTATTCTCCCTGTAGGCTGTACTGCCAAATAAAAATGAAAGTAAGAAAATAGGCATTGATGACAGACAAACCTACTTGTTTTTAAGAGGAAGCTAACTGAAAGGTGTGTATGATTGAACATGTGCAGGGTCAGTCTCTGAAAAGACTTCAGGGGAAAAAACTGGAGTCTTTTTAACTGCCAGCTAGACCTTGTTTCTGTCATGGTGAATTAAAATGAGCTGGGCTTTTTCTCCAGCTTGTGATGAGATCACTGTGTTCCTTTAAATTAAATAATATCTCAATCATTAATATGCATTGTTCTTTTATCTGGAGTAGAGAAGAGCAGAAAAAATTACATCAGAAATAAGATGTTTCTCTTGATTTTTTTTTTTGTTCCTCATGGATATTCAGCTATTATGTGACATGCACTCAGATTAATTGCTTATGTGATTAATAGGGGTTTTTGTGTCTGCTCTGGGGACTAAAATGGCAGCTTTGTTACCTTATAATTCAAAGGCAAATCAATAGGGACACAAACTTTACAACTTAGTGCAGGTTTGAAAAGAGAAAGTGGAAAAGAAAGAAAAGAGGGAAAATTAAATGAGTGTGTGGTTGAATAAATTTTTCCCTTGGTTAAGAATCACAACACTATGAACCAGACACCGGGTAAATGGAAATTATCGCTTATGAATGAACTCTCCATGGAGGGGACAGTTGATGTCAGAATTTATGTCTCTTGATTTGAGGCCCAAAATTGTGTTATTGCTTCATTTTTATTTTGCCTTGAAACTCCTTTCTTAGAAATTCAAGCAAAGCCTCTATTCATACCTGAGAGTTTCCTGTTGATGTTGAGGATGTGCCAGTGGGAAGTTAGGTTGCCTTGACTGATGAATTGTTTTTGAGAAATGTTGTACTCTAAATTGCTTCCAAGTATATTTTGTAAAGCACTATGGATGGTTATATTTTCTAGATGCTTGGCAAACTGCTGATATCTAGTGTTCAGCAAGTGAGCCCTTTTAGTGATTCATCAAAACAAAGTCTTATACTCCCACTCACCTTGCAAATTCTCATTGAGCTTTTGAGGGAAATAAACTGTAACTCTCACTGCGCTCTCTTTCCTATTAAAAAAAGAAGGAAGGCAAGAAGTCTCTGTCACAATGATTCATTGGAGGCAACCACCCATATCCCAGTTCATCTAAAGTTCATTAAGTTCCAATTCCCCCAAATGCCAAGTTCCAATAACATTGTAATCCAAGAAGTCAAGGAAATAATTTATCCCAACCGTTTATATACTTGTAAATGCCTTGCTAGGCTTGTGATGTACACTGTTGTGTCAGACTCATTACTATATTTGACATGCTGATACGTTAACTTTGGCTATAGGAATCTTACACCAGCACAATACCTATTGGTCATGTATTGGTACATTTGAGTTCTATGTTAATTTGCATAATTAAATATTTAAACCATGCTTTCAAGAAATTTTTTTACTCTTCTCAAAAATTTTTAATTTAATTTGAAAAATGTTGCAAATTCTGTTCCTTACCTTGTATGCCTCTTAAAAAGTTTTGGAGCAGTGTCATGCATTCTTATATGAAAAAGAATGAAAAGGATTAAGAGGAATAGAAAATATTAACATTTGTTTTACTATATGCATGGTTATTAAAAAGTATGAGAGTTACAAAGGCAAATTTGACTCAGAAAACAATGAATTGTACTATTAATGAGGGTTAAACATGGTAGACATTTTATAAATACCCTGCAAACATACAATATACTTAAAATTTTAGTTAAATATAGCATTTACAGAGGTATTTCCTGAATGTGCTTTCATTTTAGATATTGAAAACCTTTTTATGATAAACCATTTTTCTTTTTTATTTCCCTCCTAGTCCTTTGCAACTCAAAATGGTATAGGCAGGTTTTAGTTCTTTTGTTGCAGGGCTGAATTGCCAGTCTCCTCCTTTCACCGTATAAGAGAGAGTTGTTTCTTTATGGGGGGGGGTGGGTTATGCCCATCAGGAAAAGTCACAGAGCCCTTGTCTTATTGCCAGAATCCTGGACTTCAGTCCCAGAGCTCCAGAGACGTGCTGTTTTGGTATTTGTTTCCAGCTTCATATTTATGTTAACACTCGAATTTCAGCCTTTTATTACTACTGCTATCATTATCATTAATTTTTGCCTTTGTTAATTTTTTCATTCTTTTGATTTGACCTTTTTTAAAATATGATTTTTGTAGTTTATTGTGTATCTGTTATTTTATGTAGTAGGTTAATGTAGGGGTTCAGAGTATAAATTCCTAAAAGGTTAGAAATAAATATCTCCTCATTTTACTGAAAATACAAGGAAAGAGAAGGAGGAAATAAAGGAAATAAATATTTGTCTCAGTGTTGGAGGGTTCATAGCAAATATTTAAATATTGGGGATGGGATAGTATGGCTAGATTTCACTAAGAGAGGACATTTTATTTTAACCACAGCTTCTGCAAAGCCTGTAGGATAAGAGACTGATTTATTAATTCTGTTCTCTGTGTAACTGTGAAATTCTTGCTCTAAATTACTTTTCAAAGGCTATAGATTATGGTCAAATCCTCATGGAAAGGATATACAGAAATCTCAGTCATAGAATTCCTAATTACATTTTCTAAGCTATGTCTCTGTTCTAAGATTCTTCTTTCTGACAGTATCTACAATGTGGATTTTATCTTCAAATTAATATAATTTAGTATCTATTGAATGTTCTCTCAGTATGTTCAAATTTTATTCTAACAATGAACCAAGTAATACCACTCCAAATAATGAAAGTGAAGTGTTTTCTATAAATCTGATTAAGGATGTAAACTTCAGGAAAAATTGAAAATGTGTTGAGTTAAATTTCTTTACACTGAAATAACAGTGGAATATTTAAATGGCTTTCTGACTTTTTCTTTCCAATTCATCTAACAGACACTTATCAGAATATTATCTTAAAGCTCAAATCTCAGTGTGTGGCCCTTCTTCTGCTTAAGAAATTTTGATTGACTGCTTTTTCTAATTCTTTGTTAGACATTTCTATCTGGATACTCAGTTAACAGTAAAATGATAGCTATTTAAATCTGGGCATATCCACTTACTCTCATTAAACCAATATTTGCTGAAGTCTTCTTTTATATTGAATTCTGTGCACAGCAAAGTGAGTCAAAGATGAATTAGCCATGGTACTTAGTTCCCAGGTGACATTCAGTCCAATGGGGGCAGAGAGGAGGTTAAAAAGCATGTAAAGAGGCCCCCTTCCACATGCTGTGGTAAGAGCTATAATGGAAATTTACAAAAGTTATCCTTTCTTTTTCTTAATTTTCATAATATTTTTATATTAATCTGTAATATGGCATTGCTGCTTTCATCTTTTAGTTCAGTCATTTACCTCTCCTAAAACTTCAAAGCTTTTGAGTGTCAAGACATGGATGGTATGTTTTATGATTTTTTTTCTTTGTATTAAAGCACAGTTTAGTTTCATAGCAAAGTTGAGGGGTATGTGCAGAGATATTCCGTATAAAACCCTTGACACCTGTTGGGGCTCAAATATTCAGGTTCTGATGAGTGGAGTTCTTGGGTCCTTCTGAGATTTCAGCAGTTTTCCATTTATCAGCACATGGTAAGTTGTTAAGGAAAATTTACCTGTTAGATAAACTTCTATTACATGAAAAACAAATATATTGAATGGGGAAAAATAAGAAATTAGACAATTAATTAAATTTTCTACTAATATGTGTTCCTGAAAGGGAAAATAGCAAGAAAGAAATTATTAATACAAAATACTTTTTGAACAAAAGCATAAAGTTCCAGGCTAAAAAGATCCACACAGTACCAGCACAGCAGGTGAAAAAAGACCATAACAAGACAAAACAGGGCCTCCCCGGTGGCGCAGCGGTTGAGCGCTGGGTTGCGAAGCTGCCCGCGGCCTCTGCGGCGCCGGTTCGATCCCCGGCTGCTCCCCGGCCACCGGAGGAGGATCCCACATGGTGCGCAGACCTCTCCTGCCGCCCGCTGCTCCCCTCAGCAGTGTACTTCAGTCCTTCTGCCTGCTCTGCTCCCCACTCTGGCTCTGGTGAATTCTCTCACCCTCCCACGCTTCTGACTGTACCCAGTGCTTGTATAAACAAAAACAAACAAACAAACAAATAAAATAAATAAATAAATTAAAAAAAAAAAAAAAAAGACAAAACACTGTGGATTTTAATACCTGTGGATGAAAAAGCAAACCCTGGGAGCTTTTGGAAAGAAAAATAAATCACGACTTATGGACTGGGATTTTTTTTTAAAGATTTATTTATTTATACAAGCATTGGGTACAGTCAGAAGCTCAGGAGGGTGAGAGAATTCACCAGAGCCAGAGTGGGGAGCAGAACATGCAGACTGACAAAATACACTGCTGAAGGGAGCAGCAGGCACAGCAGGAGAGGTCTGTTGCGCCATGTGGGACCCTCACTGGAGGCCAGGGATCGGACTGGCTCTGCAGGGGCTGCGGGCAGCTTCGCAGCCCAGCACTCAACTGCTGCACCACCAGGGGAGGTCCTGGATTGGGATTCTTAACAGCAGTACTGAAAGAATACATAAGGATAAAAACTAAATTTTAAAAGAAAATGATTTCTAGAATATAATTATAAAACCTAGCCAACATATTAATTGTGAGACCGAATAAAACATTTTCACATAGGCAACAGCTCAAAAATTTGCCCTCTGTGTAACTTTTCCAAGAATCTACTAAACAATGTCTCCAACAAGGAAGCTAGTGGGGGAACTTATTATAGGACAGAGGGCAATCTGATTCTCAGAGTTAGGTGGAGAAGCTCCTGGTAATAGCTGTGGGAGCAGCCTTCAGCAGCCACCATTCCAGATGAGAGCTCTAGGAAGGGATTGTTCAGAGAAAAAGACCTGATGTACTTGCTAGTTGTGTAGGTGTTTCCCAGCTTTGGTGATGAAATAATTAAATTAATTCATTAATTATAGAAAATAAGTGAAAAAATTGGCATTTAGGTAGAAGGAAAGTGAAAATTATACAAGAAAGGAAAAGCAATCATAGCATTCTACTGGACTCTGCTATAAAAAGTATATACATGTATATAAACAGTATATACAGTGTATGACTTAATTAGCAAATGTGATACAGTTACACATATTTGGGAGCAGGGAAATAGGGTTAAATCTTCATCAAAGTAGAAAGTGAATAGATAATGTCCAAACCTAAAAAAATCAACAACTAATAGTATAAGCATGTGATTTGGACATAATGCAAACACCCAAATAAACTGCTAAAAATGTGTAAGTAGCTGCTTCTAAGAGGCAGAGTTGCTGTTTTTCTGTTTTTCCTTGTAGTATTACTTGATTTTTGAACTATATAACTGTATATCAAAAATAAATTTATATATTATATTTCAGACCCAGCCCATGACTCCAGTGCTTGGTCAGTAAAGGGTTATTGACCTCTGGTTGTATCAATGTTGGGCCATGTCTAGTCCCAGATCCCCAGAGCAATTCCGAGGGACAGTGGGCTTTACTGTAGGAGCTGGCCACTGTGATGGCCTCTGTGATCTACCTCTCCAGATCCCTTCCTCATCCAAGTCTAGGCCCTCATCTCTGCAACTTACAGTCTTCATCTGTTTCCTTGTCTGTCTTTCCCAGTGGACTAAGAGCCTGTTGAAAACTGATGTTCATTTCTCCCATCTCTGTTCCTCTTCTTGTCACTTCTCAGTGGCTACGTAGACACAGGTAGACAGAGAACTGCATTTGAAAGGCGCAGGTTTAAGACACACCTGTATGCACACAGGTGAACAGTCTTAGGGTCAAGAGCTACATTGGAAGGTGCAAGTTTAAGAGATACCTGCATAGACAAGTTGTGCAGAGAGCTCATTTTGCCAGAACAAGGGGTGCTCTCAAATAGTGTTCTTTAGGGGGATTCATTTCTTTGTGGAGTTTATTACTTTAGGGTCAGGTTGAATTGTTTTCCTGTAGCTGATAATTCTTTCTGCTCCTACCCTTATTTTTAGAAATTTTCATAGCTGGTTTAACAACTGGTTAATTACCTTACCACCACCTCTAGATCTTGTCCTTGTGAGACTTTTTTTTTTTTTTTTTTTTTTTTTTTTTTAATCTTAAATTTTATTTTTATATTCCCCCATACAATTGCAAACGCCCCATTCTGACCCAATCCTTCCCCTCCCGCCCCCCACCCCCAAAAAGTGTCTCTGGTTCATAGTTTTTTGTTGATTTTGATTTTCACTTTCTTATATTCATTTTCCTGGTCCCTTATTTAAGTTTTCTAGATTCCTGCTATGAGTGAGACCATCCGGTATTTTTCTTTTTCTTTTTGGCTTATTTCGCTGAGCATGATCCCTTCCAGCGCCATCCATGTTGCTGCAAATTGCATGTGTTTATCTTTCTTGAATGCTGAGTAATATTCCATGGTATATATGTACCACATCTTCTTGATCCAGTCATCTACTTTTGGGCATTTGGGTTGTTTCCAAAGCTTAGCTATTGTAAACAGTGCTGCTATAAACATAGGGGTGCAGGTGCTCTTTGGAATTGATGTTTCTGTGTCCTTTGGGTAAATACCTAGGAGTGGAATTGCTGGATCATATGGAAGCTCTATGTTTAGTAGGTCCAGAAATCTCCACACAGCTCTCCATAGTGGTTGGACCAGTTTGCACTCCCACAACAGTGCAGAAGAGTTCCTTTTTCTCCATCCTCTCGCCAACATTTGTTGTTGCTAGTTTTTTTAATATGTGCCATTCTCACTGGTGTGAGATGGTATCTCATGGTAGTTTTGATTTGCATTTCCCTGATTGCAAGTGATGTTGAACATTTTTTCATATGTCTGTTGGCCATTTGCATTTCCTCTTCAGAGAAGTTTCTTTTTAGCTCTTCTGCCCATTTTTTGACTGGATTATTTTCTTTGTTGTTGCTGAGTCTCATCAGCTCTTTGCAGATTTTTGTGATCAGTCCTTTATCATTAGTGTTGGGTGCAAAAATGTTCTCCCAGTTGGTGGGGTTTCTCTTTGTTTTTGTTATTGTCTCTTTTGCTGTGCAGAAGCTCTTTAATTTGATGTAGTCCCAGCTGTTTATCTTTTCTTCACTATCACTGCTTTGGGTGATGTGTCTGTAAAGATGTCTTTGATGTGCAAATCCCGTAGTGTTTCGCCTATATTTCCTTCTATGTATTTTATGGTTTCAGGTCTTATGTCTAGTTCTTTAATCCATTTTGAGTTGATTTTTGTGTATGGTGTGAGGTAGTGGTCAAGCTTCATTCTTTTGCATGTAGCGACCCAGTTTTCCCAGCACCATTTATTGAACAAACTTTCTTTGCTCCAATGCATAGTCTTGCTCCTTTGTCAAAGATTAGTTGACCATAAATCTGTGGGTTTTTTCTGGATTTTCTATTCGATTCCATTGGTCTGTATGTCTGTTCTTGTTCCAATACCATGCAGTTTTGATGATTATGGCTTTGTAGTATAGTTTGAAGTCTGGGAGTGTGATGCCTCCATTTCCTTCTTTTTTTTTCAGTAGAGCTTTGGCTATTCGGGGTTTTTTGGTGATTCCATATGAATTTCATCAATAATTGTTCTATTTCTTTGAAGAATGCCATTGAGATTTTGATTGGAATAGCATTGAATCTGTATATTGCTTTTGGTAGGATGGCCATTTTAATAATGTTTATTCTTCCAATCCATGAGCAGGGGATGTCTTTCCATTTCTTTGTGTCTTCTTCTATTTCTTTTAACAGTGTTTTATAGTTTTCTTTGTATAGGTCCTTTACCTCTTTTGTTAGATTTATTCCCAAATATTTGATTTTTTTTGTTTCGATAATAAAAGGGGTGGTTTTTTTTGATTTCTTCTTCTTCAGATTTATTGTTTGTGTATAGGAAGGCTACTGACTTTTGCGTGTTGATTTTGTATCCTGCCACTTTACTGAATTGATTGATGAGTTGAATTAGTTTTTCTGTGGAGATTTTGGGGTTCTCTATGTATATTATCATATCATCTGCAAATAGTGATAGTTTGACTTCTTCTTTTCCTATTTGGATTCCTTGGATGTCTTTCTCTTGTCTTATTGCTCTGGCTAGGACTTCCAGTATTATATTGAAAAGCAGTGGTGAGAGTGGACATCCTTGTCTTGTTCCAGATCTTAATGGAATTGCTTTCAGCTTTTCACCATTGAGAATGATACTGGCTGTTGGCTTGTCATAGATGGCCTTTATGATGTTGAGGTATGTTCCTTGTATCCAAGAATTTCAAGGGCTTTTATCATGAATGGGTGTTGCACTTTGTCGAAAGCTTTCTCAGCATCTATTGATATTATCATATGGTTTTTATATTTCTTTTTGTTGATGTGTTGGATAACGTTGATTGATTTTCGGATGTTAAACCATCCTTGTGCCCCTGGAATGAATCCAACTTGGTCGTGGTGAATTATCTTATGGATACATTGTTGGATTCTGATAGCTAAAATTTTATTGAGGATTTTTGCATCAGTGTTCATTAGGGAGATTGGCCTATAGTTTTCCTTTTTGTGTTGTCCTTATTCGGTTTTTGGTATTAGTGTAATATTGGCTTCATAGAACGTGTTTGGTATTGTCCCTTCCTTCT